GACTTTATTTAAGAATGTACATCTATTTTGCTTCTGCCTAATTCTCATATCCTTGTCTGTTAAGGCATCTATAAATTGGCCACATGTCAATAAATCCATCATTTTACTAGGAGGATCTAGGCAAGATAATTGAGTAAGCCTTTTGAAATGTTATACAAATCCTGTTAAGGTCTCCTTTTCTTTCTATATCCTGTTCTGGAAGTTTGCACTGGATACTTCTTTCTGGTGTGACACTCCAAACCTCTTGGGCAATGTGGCTACCAATGCTTTGTAGTTTTTATTGATCTCAGCTGGAAGGCTGCTTAATGTTGTCAAAGCTTGTCCTTTTAAATGGGCAGCAACACGAATAGCTTTTTGTTTACTGTTCCATCCTTTCATTCTGGAAATGATTTTGAACTGAGACTGGGATGCCTCCAATAATATTTACCTACCACAGTCCATTGATTTTTCAATTGGCCAGCTATATTCTGAGAATGGATTTGATAATGTTTTGACTGAAATAATCCAGAAATCTGTAGTCATAGATGGCACAGCAGTAGTGGTAATAGGTGTAAACCAAATAAGTTATACTATTTAATCTTTTGTAATCATTAGCATTCCAGGCTGTTACTGCTGAGCTAATGCAAAAAGAGGTGTAGTTGGTTTACACTTTGCATTTAATAATTCGTTTTCCAGATACTTCATTATCTTACTGACATTTTTTTATACATTAATGATATTCTTTTCTACCTCATTAGTATCTTTCTTTATTTCACTTTGGCTTAATTATTTTTTGTCACTGCAGTCTCGCTGTCTTCTTTGATTTGGTCATTACAGCCCTTCTATAATGACATAATGTCCACGTGCATTTTATCAAACTTCTTGTTGTAATCTCTCTATACATTTTCAATAATTGCATTGATCTTGTCTTCAATCAAATCCATATTTGATTTTAATTGTTCCTTAAATAGCATATGTCTCCTTCTTGTAACTCATCTCTTAAATTCATGTCTCTTTATTTTAATTTTCTATCGCTTTCTTTTTGGTATTCTTTAATATTGTTACAGCAGCAGAAGTCACGTGACGCTGCTGGCGCGTTGATGTGCGTGATGAGTTTCTCGAATGATCGGGGAAGTTCGAGTGTGTTCGAGATGCCTCTTCGTTAGTATATATGCCTGGCAGTGAAAACCAGCAGGGGGATAAATGAAGAGAGAGCAGTAGTTACTTTGAGTTCCGTGTAATTTATGATTCTGTTATTTTCGAGCTAGTGAGCCATAAAGTGTGTGTTTTGCACTCGTTGAGAGCGAAGTTATCGAGATTGTGAATCGCTGTGATTTATAGTGTGTATATTATAAAAATTGTTAAGTTTAAAGTGACGAGAAACGTACTGATTGTGGAACTACTGTGTACTAAAAGTTTGTATCGAGGAACAATAAACTGGTTTATTCAAGAAAGGACTTGTATCGCTGAAGATCCTCGGAAAGGAATTTATACTGGAAACAAGCAGATACGTAACAATATTTCTATTTCTTTCTTCTTTTAAGTCCTCTTTTTATCTTTCCTACGTTTCTTCTTGGTGTTCTTTCAATTTAGTGTCTTTTGGTCTTCTATAAATTTTCTGGCTAATTCCTTTTGATCTTGTCTTAATGATTTCATCATCTCAAGTAATGCTTCCCTTTCCTTGTCCTCATGGTCGCCATCTTCACAGTTAAAATTCAACTTAAAGTATTTAAAAGTTATATTTTATTACTATAAAAGTAATCCCATTTCTGACATAAATGTTTTAATGTTGTTCTTTTCAATTACCTGGTCAAAATAAGTGAAATTAGTTTATTTCTTTCTTAACGTTTTTACAAACTTGAATACTGTAAAACTTGTACACTGTTGAAACTTGTTGTAGCATATGTTTACAAGTGACACAAGTTAAACTACTCTAATGTAAAGAATAAACTGGCTTGTACTTCCTGGCTGAAACGAAAGCACACTTACTGATATACTCTACCAGTGAAAGACAAATCTTTCTCTCCTTATCTGTCTCCTAAACTTTTTCTTGATATATCGCTGAACCTCAAATATACAATTTTACCATCGAATTTAGTAGAAAAGTTTATGCCAAACCTCTTATAACTTTCTAAGCCCGGCTTATTAAACTTTACTGTTTTAACATCATTATTACAACCCACAGAATAAGAGAATGTCCACTACTACGTGCTTGTTATGAAGTAAGTATATATGTCTGTTCATGGCAACTCTAGTCTTCTCTACGCGTCCTCTATCTTTTTATATATATAAGCCAGCAAATGAAGAGACGGCATAAAGATAATAGATAATAGCAGACAGAAAGATTGAAGCTACAGACGGACAATTCAGTCAAGCGCGATAGTAAGTAAAGTGCGTGAATCATTCGTTGAGAATTATAGCGTGTGTTAAGGTAAAGTGACTGTGGAAATTAAGTGTATTGCAAAGTTGTATTGAGAAATAATAAACTAGTTTTATTTAAGAAAGGACTTGTATCGCTGAAGTTTTTCGGAAAGAATTTCTACGAAAAATTAACAAACGACCAGAGACGTAACAAATTGGTGTTAGAGAGTAGGACGGAAAAGAAAAAGAAGATGGAAACGAGAAGTGCCAAATCCAACTACGACTTAGTAGATTTGATGGCAACAGTACAGCAACAGCAAAAGAAACAAGAAGAATGAGAAACTAAACAAGAAAAAAGACTGCAGCAGTGGTTGGAGAAAAATGAAAAGAAACAAGAAGAGAGATTACAGCTGTGGCAAGAAAAATTGCAACAGTGACAGCTCGAACAGCAAAATAAACAAGAAGAAAGATTACAGCTGTGGCAAGAAAACTTGCAACAGTGACAGCTCGAACAGCAAAATAAACAAGAAGAGAGATTACAGCAGTTGTTGGAGGAAAAAAAGTTGTGTTGCGTCAATCCCATGATACTGTAACAGGAGGACATCTCGGAGTTAAGACGTGACTTTCCGGATAAAATGTGGTCGGCGAGGTAAACCAAAAGTGGTGCATGCCAACAGGCTTTGGCGTTATCACGGTCCAGGACATTTCAGTTGGGATGAAGTGGACAACAGAACAAATGACGCTGATGAAGACGTG